GATTGAAATTTAAAATACTGTTTTGTTTTAATCAAAAATGTCAAAAGTGGACATATGATAATAATATGTCATTATATTCAGAATGTCATTTTCTATCAAATAAAGTAAAAAATACTCAGGGTGCCATTTAAAAATCAAAAGTTGTAGTCATTTCCGCTGAAACAGAAAGTGACCGAAAAGAATTGAATACGACCTAATTTATGTCGTATACTAACATACCAAATCTCGTTTTTTTATCTGAAAAAAATAAAAAAGTTATATGGGCGAGCCACTTTTGAGACACATCCGGTATATTAAATAAAATAATTTTACTTGAAAATCGGTTTCTGTATTTGACATTGAACAAAATTGAAAAAGTCAAAGGTATATTTGTATAGATTTTTCGATTTATTTCTTGTTTAATTTCAAAATAAGTTGTAATTGAAAACGAGATACAGAAATGAACTAAAAATTACATTTCTGGGAAAATATGAAAGATCTCAAAAGATTAGATATGGAAGACAGTCATGAAAAATGTTTGAATTTAGATATGTTGAAAAAATTTCAATTTTTATTGATAAAATGCAATTTTTTTAATTTAATTTTCAAAGAAATAGTAATCATAACATCTCTAGTTATGAACTAGATATTTATGATACAAGTGAGTATCATCCGCAACAGCATCAGTAAGATACGCGTGTGAAAGTTGCACAACGAATGCGTAGCACGAGTTGTGTAACCACACAAGTATCTTAATGGAGTTAACTCGCGTGTATTGTACAATATTTTATCGACGTCTAACTATAAAAACACACAATGAATTTTGAAAATTATTGTACTTAACTATATACCTATCCTAAAAATCAATTACCTTAATATCTTTGTTCCAACAACACCATGCATGGCAATGTCAATATATGACAATAAATAATAATGATGTCACACTAGTTTAAAAAATGAGCGATTCGGAAAGTATTCCTTCTGACATTGAAGAAGAGACATTCAGAGCCATTTCTGGATTGCTCTCGGCAAGATCGAAACAGAAGTATGAATGTACATACCCTAAGTATGAAAAATGGTACACCAAAAAAATAGTACACAACTATGGAAGTAAAAAGGTACTCATAACATATTTGTCCAATTTGGTGCAAAATAAATGTTTTACAAAATATTTTTTTCTCTTTGGTAGTCATCTAAACAAGAAGTGCGGTAATTAAAATTCGTGAGTTAAGAAGCTTTTAACTCACTCAAAATGCGTGAGTTAAGAGCTTCTTAACTCACTGACGTACATAAATACATTTTTCTTATTAGATTTTTGTGATAAGGATTAAAATATAACAATTTTTCCTGTTTTGATGTTGAGATCTTTATCCATTGCGTAAAATAAAAAATCATCGAGGGTTTCATAAATATTGTGAAATTAAAAATTACAGAACTTGATAATTGATTAATATACAGGGTGATTCTTGAATAAGTGAACACGATTATGAGATTTATTTCGCCAAAAAAAATTGAAAATTTGAAAACGTCTGGAAATTTTTTAGTTCTTAGTTAAAAAATGTAATTTCTTGATAATATGGCAACATAGGTAGTAGATTAAATTTTCAGGAAACATCCAGTGGTTCTCATAAATTTAAGTAAAAAATAATTTTTTTGGAAATTTTCAAAGTAAAATGACTCGTTTATTTTGGACTTATTTGAAAAACGATAAAGGGAAAATATGTGTTTCTTTTATTGATATCTACCAGTCCTGAAAATATTTGCACTTATTTAAGATTCACCCTGTACAGATAAAAAAGTATTTTAAGCGAAAACTGTGTCGACGTAGAATAAAATGGCTCTTTTTTCGATGGGGCCTGTTATTTTCGAAATTTGACCCAAATTTATGTTTTTATAAATGCGATATTATTTTATTATTGTGTCTCTATATTATTATTTTTTATTTTATTTACCTTATTATGATCTTTCTAAATATATAAAGTACTCTATATATATTTTCATAAAAAAGTTTAAAAATGAATTATTTAACTTTTTAATATAGGCGGACGGACGGTAACATTTGGTAATCAAAGCAATCGAATAATTTATATGACATCAACTTTTCATTATCGGATGTTTCACGCTTGTGTTTCTGTGTGAAAATATTGCATAACTGCATCAAAAATATAAATCGGTTAAGATAACACAAAGGTAAAAAAATGCAGCATATTAAAATTCGCCCTGTATTTCTGGAATTAAGAAATTTACTACAAATCTCTGTAGCATCTTTAATTTCATAAAAAAATAGCATAGCGATGTGAAAACCGCAACTTTGTATCTTTACTCATAAACGGGAAACATCAAACACACGAAAATGGGACACTCTGTACTTCAAATCATAATAGTTATAGCAGAACTTTTTGATTATTTTTCTCAAAAAAAAACCCGACCTTATAAAGAACTTTTTCGCTCTCCGTTGAATATTGCGACTTTATTCTTGGCGCTTCAGGGCTGAAATATTTACAGTCTTTCAGGTTGTTTTAAGTTGCAGAGGAGAGAAAGAAATAAAAGAAAGATATTTCGGAATAAATTTAGAGAATCTCTATTTACCCGCAAAGAATAATACTTTCGGCTTGAAAAGTTTGCCGAATCGGTTAGCCTAAGGCAAACGTTTTTTTGCTGACTTTTTTTAGTCAACAAACATGAGAAAATTCAGAAATTATGCTTTCGTTTGATGACAAAAGTTGTAGTTGTAGTTGTAAGTAAAAAAAATTAGCCTAACTATTATGTTACACCAAATTAAATTCTAATTTGACATACAGGGTGGTCTGAATTGTATCCGGAAACTTTGGAAGCATATTCTGTAGATAAAAATAAGTAAAAAAGTTCGTATAAATGTCCTAAAATGCTTTCGGAGATACAGGGTGTAGATGTTTCATTTTTATTTCGATTTTTTCAATCAATATTTGGATGAAAAATGGTATTTGAAAGATTTTGACATGAGAAATTTGATTTTGATGTTAATATGACTCCTTCTTGTAGAGGGCACAATTTATATAGTTTTAACTGGACTGAAAATTAATATCTTTTTGTCCGTACCTATATAAAATCGCTATCATCTATTCTTATTACAACAAATTAAACTATAATTTAAGTTTGCTCTTAACTTGCTTAACAGACATATATTAAATTTTCGTTAGTTATTAGTTTTTGTCATGTCATTAGTTAATGATTAGTTTTTGTCATAACATATCAATAATTGTATTAAAAATATGGATAAAAATAGAAGAAATTGGAATAAATCGCGAACTATTAGAAATAGGTATACTAAGGGCTGGCAAAGGTTAGTTTTGGGTCGAGATTTCCGCATGTAAGAAGAGTACAATGCGTTTATAATGTACTGAACAAAGAGAGGACAGTAAACACGTTGCCAAACGTATGAAATAAACCGAGAAATTGTGCACATCGCTAAGAGACGTGGAAGGGGATATAGCAGATTTGTCGCAGTTGACCGGTCGACCCATCCAATACCTCTGTCAGTACTTAAAGTTCTACGGAAAGGTGTACGTCATGCGTTCAGCTTCAAAATTTAATTACGTCTCGTGATACTTAATTTGTTTATTTATTAACGAGTCGTTGTAATTTTCCCTCTAGCTTGAATTTTTTTAAGTGCAAGCTAGAAACACTTGCATTTTTGGTAAAAATAAGTGGAATTGAGTGGGTGTTCGATAGTGGTCGCGCTATTAGAACTCTGAATTCAAAAATCGATATCTCGAAATCTATTAGAAATAATAGATTGTAGTTTTTTCAAGAACTTTGTTAATATTTCTGCTGTACTTTCTTTGTAGACAGTATGTGAAAATCTTTATCAATAAAAAAATTACACGATTGCTGAAAATTGCTATGCTCTAAAAGTAAATGGATGGATTGTATACAATTTTTGAATGGAAAAAACAACCTTATCGAATTTTTCTTATGTAAACATATTGTAAAATATCCGATCTTGAAAATAAAAAAAAGTTTCAATATCTAAAGTGGTTCTTGAGTTATGACCTGTTATGTGTTAAAAAGTTGAGTTTTTAAATTATCGCGATTACTGACGTTTTCTCGTTATAAAAAAATGACACCTTAACGATATCCTTATAATTCCATTTCAGTTGCGCAGAAACATTACAAACCTAATGATTTTATCTAGTTATCTCTTGAAAAAAAGTCATTTAAAAATAAGCGGTTTGCGATCGTGATTTTACTTTACTTGATAGGGAAAGGCGTATCGGCAACGCCGCAACAGCACACCGTCGCGCGTCGCGTCGGTCGGTCGTATTTCTCTCACTCCGACTTAATAAGATCCCTGCGCGATTTACTTCCGCACATGTAAATGCCGACCCAAAAGTAACAGTTGCCAGCACGGTATAACGTTTTTACATCACAATTTTTTTAAGTATTTCAGTTACGTTATGAGATTCATAACACAACTAGTGGTGTTATGAATCTATAACACAACTAGTTTTTATAATAATGAAAATTCCCCACAATTATAATTAAAAAAATGTAACAAATGTCATAGTTAAAGGTGGGCGACTAATGAACGAAAATTAAAACAGCATTTTCTTATTTTTCGGTTGTAGATAAAACGTTGTACATGACACGTGCGTTTAAACATGATTACAACACTCGTGTGATTAGAACGACGAGGTCGTAGACCACGTCGTTCTAATCGTTCACACTCGTTTTAATTTGTTCATAAACACACTTGTACTGTAAATAACTATTATGACGTGTCTCTTAATCTTCCCTATAACTTTTGTAAAGCTCGAAACAAATGAGATAATGGACTTTACTCTATCATTGACTCACCCTGTACAACAAAACCCTACCAAACCCCCACAGAAAACACTCAATAACTCTGAGGTAACGTATCCCACAACTTCTCCGCAAAAACCACCCCTAGACTTTTTTCCCTCCTGGCTACGAAAAAAAAACAGGAGAAGATTATCCGCAGCCCCATTCTAAAAACGAGCTCGCCCCATTAGAAAACTTACGTTGTGTTTCCAGACAACTTTGTAAGCCGACGGATTTGCGTCTACTTGGCATTCGAAGTAGACGTCGTCGCCCTCCTCGATGTCGTCCGGATTTAGGCTGGATCCGAGCAAAAGTTGGATGCGGGGAATATCTGGAAAATAATTTCGCACACAGTCAGTGAGTTATTAAGTTAATCGGATCGTGTTCGGGAGGTTTAATCGCTTAATTAGCCGCGTCTGGTGTTTCGTTTCATTGAATTTTTTGTCGAAATATTTGGTGATATAAAGGGTTGTTTTTGTAAGAAATGTTGTACTTAGAAGAATGTCGTTTATTTATACAGGGCTGTTTACCACATACGATACGGAGTATTGTAGCCTAAATGATTAGATTTTTACAAATTGTAAGTTTTGGCAATTATTATTAATTCTGGTAAAGCTTATGTTCTTAATATTAATATTAAGAGGTATCTCATCGTGGTTTTCTATTTCCCATTTAAATAACACGGGGAAACAATTTTTTTGATTTTGGAATTTTATTGCGTTCTAACAAATCATCGTGTTGTAAAAATCAATACATATTCATGTAGGAAATTAAACGGTCTTCAAAAAAGATCTGATATGTATGTTCATTTAATCGACTCGTTTGAAATATTTATAATTATAATTTATACTTTATTATTAGTTATTTTAAAATATCGTATTTTACGTTTTTGAGCCATCCCAAGTAACAAAATTCCGACTTCCGACTAGTTTTGACTACGCGCAACGTTGAAATTGGTATTTTTCCTACCCTATGCATATCCAAACCTCAAATTACGTAGCCAAAACGTCGCTACGACGTTGCACTTAAACAGTTGTATATTTTGACCCTTAACAACGTTGGTAAACGTTGTAGGGCACAACGTTGTTAGAAGTTGTGTTTTATACCGTTGTCACTACGTCGCCAAAAGGCATCATGTTTATTGTACTACAGAATAACAAATGTAGTACAACGTTGTGCAACGTACTTTTAAATTACGAGTGTACATACATGGTAACTACAACGTAATACAACGTTTCATTAAACGACCCAAAGCAACTTAAAAATTATAACCAATTACTACGTTGGATTACGGCGACGAGCGCGACGATATCGATTCTTGTTGTGGAAGCGGAACTATCTACACCTAACCTCAAAAAATTCTGTACTGTACTGTCACAGAACAATTAGCCAAGTGTTTTTTCTGTGGTACTTGGCACTTACTGTATAAAGCGAAAAGAAGATGTATAGGAAAAAAGTCAATAAATACTCTACAAATTTTTATAGAAAAAGGAAAAAGTATTTAGAAGAAAGTCAGCGAGCAAGTCAGTGTCCAAATAATGAAGTGGAAATAACGAGTTTAGGTTCGTCATCCACATCCTCGCAATCATGTATCGAGGGAACGTCCACTTCAATTTTGAAAACTAATAGTGCTACTAGTGATAGCTTATCATCAATGGATACTATAGAAATAAATAAGAGTACACCTGACGTGAAGCCCATACACCTGACCTGAAGCCCATACACAACAGAGGAATACTATGAGAAGTTCAGTTTCAGCATAAATTGAAGAGAATATTAGATTTTAATTTTCAAATGAGTGGTAAAATCAACAAAACTTCCTGTACGGCTTTTTTAACAATAAATAAAAATACTGATCTAATGTCAGCGATCTTATTAACGAGTATGTGACCACCACCACCAAAAGATGACCCAGCTTTCTTTTTTATTTTATTGTTCAAAAAAGAGCACTGTAAGAAGGAATTTTCTTATTTACCTCCTAGATGTCGGTAGGGTTCAGAGGTCTTATTTCGTCAAAGCAAGTGTCAATTTGTGAACCAAAGGTTGACATAGGTGACCCAAAGGTCGGTTATCGCACCTTATGCACTATATTGGTATTTTAAAGGTTGCCTTAGGAAACTCCGCCATTTTAATACGAATTATCTTTTCATGCGTTGTGGACGAATCGAATAAAATATCAGAAACCACAAAATACTGCGAATTTCGTTAAAAAACTGTATCTGTTAGGGTTGTAAGCTAATTTTCCTGATATATTTCACATATTTGTCTCAAAATTAAAAAAAAAAGTTAGGTTAACCAAGTAAACTATAATTTTAAAATTAAAACTTGGAAATAAAAAGGGGTTTTGCCATATTTCGAAGTATCATGGTCACTTTCAACAGTAAACTAATTTTCGTTGATGAATTTCGATTGCCGACATCTCAAAACTTTGCAGATTTGTCGAAGTTAAATTCACTTAGTTATTTCTTAATGGAGCTTAATATATGCCATTTCTAATTCATACATCAGCCATCACCAAGTTAATCGAAATCAATGATTTGGTTTCTCCATGGTCGAATATAGTAATATTTGGCGACGATTATTTTTAACTCTAACCTCAAAATATCGCGAATCGGCATGAAAAACAACTTTTAGTACACAACGTACGACGTCACCTCAAACAACGTCGACGGCGACGTTGTAGCGACCCTAAAAACATCCACCATTTGGGTGCAAATATGGGTCGCTTAGACGTCGCTTCGACGTTGTCCGGCAACGTTGGGTTGCTCCTGGCTACGTTGTGATTACGTTGAACAACGTAATTTGGTACTTGGGATTGTTTGGTGATAAAATATAAAACATATTGGAAGTTATCAATATTTCAAACTTCAATAACTTTCAAACGAGTCGATTAAATGAAAATTCATATCAGATATTTCAAGTGCATTAAATTTCCTACGGGAAATGTGTATTGATTTTAAACGCGGTTGTTAAACCTGCAATAAAATTTCGTCAAAAAAATTGTTTCCCAGTGTTATTTAAATGGGAAATGGAAAATCACGATGGCCGCACCTTTTAATACTAATATTAAGAGCTCAAACTTTACCAAAATTTTTTTCATCATCCTTATATTTTCACGGTAACAAAGAAGAAAAAAAATATTTTTTTTGAGAGTTTACCAACGTTGCCAAAAGGCATCATGTTTATTGTACTACAGAATAACAAACGTAGTACAACGTTGTGCAACGTACTTTTAAATTACGAGTGTAAGTACATGCTAACTACAACGTAATACAACGTTTCATTAAACGACCCAAAGCAACTTCAAAATTATAACCAATTACTACGTTGGATTACGGCGACGAGAGCGACGATATCAATTTTTCTTGTGGAAGCGGAACTATCTACACCTAACCTCAAAAAATTCTGTACTGTACTGTCACAGAACAATTAGCCAAGTGTTTTTTCTGTGGTACTTGGTACTTACTGTATAAAGCGAAAAGAAGATGTATAGGAAAAAAGTCAATAAATACTCTACAAATTTTTATAGAAAAAGGAAAAAGTATTTAGAAGAAAGTCGGCGAGCAAGTCAGTGTCCAAATAATGAAGTGGAAATAACGAGTTTAGGTTCGTCATCCACATCCTCGCAATCATGTATCGAGGGAACGTCCACTTCAATTTTGAAAACTAATAGTGCTACTAGTGATAGCTTATCATCAATGGATACTATAGAAATAAATAAGAGTACACCTGAAGCCCATACACAACAGAGGAATACTATGAGAATAATGATCCTCCAGAAGAGCAGTCAACTGAAGTTCAGTTTCAGCATAAATTGAAGAGAATATTAGATTTTAATTTTCAAATGAGTGGTAAAATCAACAAAACTTCCTGTACGGCTTTTTTAACAATAAATAAATAAAAATACTGATCTAATGTCAGCGATCTTATTAACGAGTATGTGACCACCATCACCAAAGGATGACCCAGCTTTCTATTTTATTTTATTGTTCAAAAAAGTGCACTGTAAGAAGGAATTTTCTTATTTACCTCCTAGATGTCGGTAGGGTTCAGAGGTCTTATTTCGTCAAAGCAAGTGTCAATAAAAACATCCACCATTTTGGTGCAAATATGGGTCGCTTAGACGTCGCTTCGACGTTGTCCCGCAACGTTGAGTTGCTCCTGGCGACGTTGTGATTACGTTGAACAACGTAATTTTGCTACTTGGGATTGTTTGGTGATAAAATATAAATCATATTGGAAGTTATCAATATTTCAAACTTCAATAACTTTCAAACGAGTCGATTAAATGAAAATTCATATCAGATATTTCAAGATCATTCAATTTCCTACAAGAATGTGTATTGATTTTTACAAAACGCTGATTTGTTAAAACGCAATAAAATTTCAAAATCAAAAAAATTGTTTCCCAGTGTTATTTAAATGGGAAATAGGAAATCACGATGACACACCTTTTAATACTAATATTAAGAGCTCAAACTTTACCAAAATTTTTTTCATCATCCTTATATTTTCACGGTAACAAAGAAGAAAAAAATATTTTTTTTGGTGCGCCCTGCTTTCTAGGGTGGAACTTAAATTGTATAATTTTGAAGGAAAACACCCTTTACTATAGGACATAGACAAAACATAAAATCGGTGTTTGGAGCTCAGTTTTTATCAAAAATGTAATATATAGTAAAAACCGCACATCGATATCTGTTACCGTTTCTGAATTACGAGGTGTTTTTCAAAAGTGTGCGTTTTAAGCAAATCGCTGGAACTTTTTTGCTATGGAAAATTTTGCATTTTTATGAAAAGGTTTTCCAGTACATTTTTACGTAAAATTTAATGATTTAAGTATAATTTTTTTAAAAATTAATAACTTAAGAGTTATCAACAGAATATAATGAAAAGAACTTAAGTCAGGTCCACTTCCCACTCAAGTCAGGTTCACTCCCAGGTACTTTAGTTAGCTCCAGCGGCCTCGACGGCCAGCGGCTGGGATGGCTATTCAATTCTTTAGTTATTTCAATCCTTGGTTAGCTATTCAATTATTCTCGAAATTGAGTTCAAGAAATTGCTGATAATTTCAGGGTAGGGAGGCGGTGCCTCCTTTTGATGGAAAAATATGTTTTTCCAGCAAAACGAGGCTAATGACCTCCATTAGGGGCAGATTATCAATCAGCGATCCAAAGCCTACTAGTTAAAAGTGGCGAACTTTTAAAATTTCTGTATATCGAAGGGCACTCGAACAAAATATCAGGAGTGCTATATTTTTGGAAAAAGAATTTTAAGTTCTTTTCATCGAATTAAAAATATACAGAATCTCCCAAATAGAAAATCAATTTTTCTGTTGATAACTTTTATGTTATTAATTACAAAAAATATATACTTAAACTTCTACGTAAAAATATATTTTTGAAAACGTTTTAATAAAAATACAAAATTTACAATAGCAACATATTTTGTAATTAACAGTAACTCCGAAACGGTAACAAATCGATGTGTGGTTTTTACCATTATGTTTTTGACAAAAATTGTTTCGAAAAAATATTTTGGCTTCGAAGGCAATAACTAAATTTAATTACAGTTGAGGGTTGGAACCTTTGGTGTTACACAGCAAAATAAAAACACTAAATCACCACAATACACCAAAACACTTTTACTTTTACACTGAATAAAATAATTAGAAAACGTAGGTATAGGTTTATGATTTCTGAAAATTCGAATTTTCAAGTGAAGAAGGATACGTCAAAATATTTTTCAATACCGTTTGATAGAGAGTTATCCCGTGGTCTAAAAGGAATTTTTAAGAATGTCAATTTAAAATTTGTGTATAGTGCTAATAATAAATTACAACAATTATTAGGTAATCCAAAGGATAAAACACCTCCACTGGAAAGTACCCGACCTTTTATGAAATTTCTTGTAAAGATTGTAATCAGAAATATGTTGGGCAAACTAGAAGATCAATATTAACTAGATTTAAAGAACATTTAGCTCGGATAAGATATTGTAGACCGGATAAATCTTGCGTTGCCGAACATATTGTTGATAAAGAACATTGTATAGATATTAATAATTTAAAATTAATTAAACAAGTAGTCTCAAATTACAGGCAATTAGATGCATATGAAAGCATCAGAATTAATAAATGTAAAGATAGTATGAACAGAGACAACGGTCCAATTCCTTTAAGTTCTTTGTTCCTATTACTCTAGTGGCGGAAATTTAACTGTTACGCTCGGTGGGCTCTGGCTCGGTTGGGTAGATTTTGCCACGCCTACTCGGTGCCTACTGAGCGAGTATATTAACGCTCAACTTGTGGATTGTATTTTAGTTTATAATCATCTGCTGATGATGGCTAGCAAAACGCGCGTCTGGTGTAAAAAAAAACAGTGTAAAAGTAAAAGTGTTTTGGTGTATTGTGGTGATTTAGTGCTTTTATTTAACTAAATTTAGTACTCGGTTAAATCACAACATCAGTTGAATCCGAGAAATATCTCTCGGGAAATAATTTCTCAGAGAGAAAAGGAATTATTAACTTAATCGGATCAAGCTCGAAGTTTAATTGCTTAAAAACGACATTTTCCACTTCAACAATTTGAAATCTGTCTTAATTATATTACTGTATTTGAAACATTTCAATTTAGACATATGCTTGTTGAAAATTAATTAATTAGTTTACACATTTATCATTCTAAAGTTCTTCAAAGAAATTGTCAAATAACATCTCTTTTGAAAGAGTATTAAGATAGTGTAGCCCTTCTAAGAACGTAAAAAATTTAAAGTGAAAATAAAGATTCAATAAAATTGTAGTTTACTTTTATAGTTTGGTAGGAGATAAAATTGAAACTATACTCAAAAATACACAATAATAATTTAAAAATGAAAACTAGTTTGGTCTCTTGATTATTAGAAATAAGAACAAAAAAATTAATTTCTCACTTTAAATATATTTAAGAACTTATAACGCTTTAAAAAATAAATTTATATGTATTCTGCATAATCTATCAAATTATGATATCAATTTTTTTTACTGTATGTGTCAGCCAGATGGAATAAATTTGAAAATGAATAAATAGTGGCTTGTTTAAAAAAACGCAAACGTTTATTTATTTATAATTACTTTATTTGAAAATAAAAAATTATAAAAGACTTACAGTAGACATTAAGTTGTAAGCTGGTCTCTATAACTCCATTTTTCACATTCAAATTTGAAGCACGACAAACCAAAGTGCGTCCGTTATCTTCTTTGGATGGAATGAAGGTTAGAAGCGACGATGTTGAGTTTCTATCTTCAGCAATCTGAAAATAATACAAAATATATTGTAAACGGAATAAATTAATACTTATTAATATACAGGGTTGTTCACCACATACGACACGGAGTATTGTAGCTAAACGATTAGATTTTTACAAATTTTAAGTTTTGGGTTCATTGAAGGACTATTAGAGCTACAATTTAGAAATAATTTTACAAGATACAGAGTGTCCCAAATAAGTAAAAAATGCTATAGTTGTATTTTTTAAAATGGAACACCCTGTATATTATTCTATTTTTGGATTCTACGATTGAAATAAAGGTAAATTTGATTAAGGTTTATCACACTTAAACCTTACCGTTTTTGAAATATTTTCAATTTTATGAAATTGTAATAAAAATTTTAAGGCTTTATTTCTCCCAGGGTATCAAAGTTTTTAATACTAAATATTTACTGAAGATTATTTATTGATCAGATATTGTGTTGCAATAATAAAAATTTTACTACCTTATACAGAGTGTCCAAAAATTTATATTAAATAATTACTAGCTTTAAACTGCAATAACTTGTTTAATTTAAATGGAACACCCTATATATTTTACGTGAATCAGATGTACAATGTAATTGTCTATGAAATTGTATTATACCATTTTTCACCCATCTCTTGAAGTTTTCGTAGAAAATGCGTTTTGTTATAATTTGGACCTCATTTATCATTATACTCATGGAATATTGACATTTCAGATTTTTTTATAGCACCATAATATGTACAAAATGTACAGGTGGTAAATATTGCAAGCCCATTGGCATACAAAAAAACTATTTAAATCTTTGTAAAAGAGTATACCAATTAAATATACCACCATTATTTCCTACAAAAAAACACCAAAAGTTAGTTAATTACATACTTGTAAATTGTTTTAATTAATAAATTATTCTAAATAAATGTGGATTTGGCTCAGAAATCAATATAATAATAAGTTATGAAAATGAATGTCTCTGTTTTTATAAATAAGCATTCGTCAATAAATGAAATAAAATTTATAAGGTGTTACTTTTTACCACACTGTCTAATACACACATAAAATTCAGTTTTTTAGTATTTGGAACAGTTATTACTTTAACGTAAACAGTTAATTTAATGTAGTTTGAATACTGGGAGCATATTAATTGGTCCTCTTTAACAAAAAATATTTAAACAGTTTTATTTTTATTTTTTAATTAACTAAGCGAACTATATCGACAATATTAGTATCTGTACCTTTTGAAAATTTGTCACATCGTTAAAAATAAGCTAAAATGTCAATATTCCATGGGTATAGTGATAAATGAGGTCTAAATTATAAGAAAATGCATTTTCTATGAAAACTTGAAAAGATGGTTAAAAATGGAACAATACAATTTGATAGACAAGTTATTGCCGTTTAAAGCTAGTAATTATTTAATATAAATTTTTGGACACTCTGTATAAGGTAGTAAAATTTTTATTATTGCAACACAATATCTGATCAATAAATAATCTTCAGTAAATATTTAGTATTAAAAACTTTGATACCCTTGAAGAAATAAAGCCTTAATTTTTTTTACTGCAATTTCATAAAATTGAAAATATTTCAAAAACGGTAAGGTTTAAGTGTGATAAACCTTAATCAAATTTACCTTTATTTCAACCGTAGAATCTAAAAATAGAATAATATACAAGGTGTTCCATTTAAAAAAATACAACTATAATATTTTTTACTTATTTGGGACACTCTGTATCTTGTAAAAATATTTATAAATTGTAGCTCTAATACACCTTCAACGAACCCAAAACTTACAATTTGTAAAAATCTAATCGTTTAGCTACAGTATTCCGTGTCGTATGTGGTGAACAACCCTGTATAACTAGATCAACTTTTCAAACCAAAACCCTGATATATGGGTTTGTTGGAATGTCGTATCGCCCTCTATATAGAAAAAAAATTTGGTTTTTAGAAATGTGTTTAGGTAGAGATAAGGACAGACTTATAATAAATTGGTGCAAATCCAAAGAAAAAAGTACCTTCTCTCAACTTTGATATAAAAATATTTGAGCTAATTGTAACTGTATTTTGTTTATTACCTTGGTTTGGTTATGTTTTTGTTTTCTTTCTATGTTTAGCTTGAAATTTTAATTATTACGGAACACAGTTGTTGAAAAAAAAAACTTCTTTAAATAAAAAAAATGATACATGTGATGATTTTGTGTCTTTATTCCTTCATTAGAAGATTTTTCTAGTTTTCTAACGACTTTTGTTATAACCCAAATTTTAACTTTAAAAATGTCCAATTTATACATTTAATAATGCTGATTCAAAATTATTTTTGTGTCAATTTTATACATATTTTATCGAAAACTATAAGAGATAGGTATAGCTTTGTATAATAGAAAAATCATGGAATATGAAAATAGTTTCCAAAACTGTAATAATATACTGGCTGTACCGTTTAAAATAACAAAGATGCTACCACTTTTCAAATTATCCTAAGCTGATAATATTTTTTAGATAGATGAAGCAGGTGCCTTTATGTAAAAATCCAAATTTTCAAAACAATTCTCAAGACCTGTTCTCCTATTACTATCGATCGCCGGAAAGTCAGTTATCGGAAGCTAGACAGCTAACTTTTAATCTATAAGGATATTTCGAGATTTTTCATTTTTTCTTTCCGTTATAAGCTACCTAAAATTCAAAATTTGAATTTTGTGACACATCTAGAAATACTTTAGTATTTTGATGATCTGTCAGTGAGCCAATGTCAAAATTAAAGAAATTTAACAAGCGATATAATTCATAAACTATGAGAGATCATCACTAGATATTATAGTAACCTAGCCAGCTATAGTATATCTTAGTGTACTGAAAATTAATAATCTTGCTTTATCCACAACAAAGTTACAGGGTGGTCAAAAGTTCCGCTAATATCTTCGAGAAAAGGATGGTACGGCTGTGTTCGACTTGGAGTGGGCACTGCCGTGCCCCCATATAAGCTATTTTTATTCCTAAGTAGTCGATGTCGAAATCATAGATAAAGAAACAAGTTTAGATTGGAAAGTGTCCATAAGGACGATGTAAATACTATTTGGCGCTATTCTTACAACGGTTGCTCTCCAAAGCTTTTGGTCATTTCGGAGCTGTTCGGCTTTCTCCGGAGATATATATATATATATATATATATATATATATATATATATATATATATATATATATATATATATATATATATATATATATATATATATATATATATATATATATATATATATATCAGTTATGTCGCCAAATATCATTTACTCAAATTTATTATTATTTTCTTTAATTTTTTTTAAATAAAATACAGTGTGTTGAATATAAGAAACTCTATTTTATATAACGACATGTATGAAACACACATAGGAAACCGACGTTATGCCACCATCCACAATGGTTTTTGCAGTTCACAGTTCGTACAACTTTTTAAGTTTTTAATGCCACTTTTTCACAATTATCACGGGTTTGAATAAATAAAATTTAAATTAAACTCACAAGATAGCAATACTTTCAATACTTTCGTTGAAAATGGACGCTATAAGCACTTTTCGGTATTTTTTCAATGAGGGCGGTTTAAATTTTGCAAGATTTTATAATTTTTTAAGATTCTGAGCTTGACAAATGAAAATTATTTCTGTTCTTGTTAGCGGTTGTTCTTAGTAACCGCTATAGCAGCGCCCTGCAACGTATGTACCCCAAAACAATTATAAGTTTTAGCGGCAAGCCGAGCATTCCAATGTAAACCGGTTTTCTTTATCTATGGTCGAAATTAAAGAAATTTGACAAGCGATAATTCATAAACTATGTAATATAATCATTGTAAGTTTATTGACACGCTTTCTTAATATTATTATTCAAAGGCTCCAATTACTATCAAAATTCTTTAGAATTGAAGGTCTAGAAAAATTTTAAAACAGATTTAACCCTAAAAAATTCTCGATATACCGTCAGCCGAGACACACTAAAATAAGAAGGATCCTGTTTGGTTTGAAGTCTAATTTATTTATTAAAATGGCCGTGGAAACGTTTTGAATGTTTCAAAGGGAAATGTTTAAATATTTATGCACGGTCTTGGCAATGGAATATACTAGAGGCGGAATAGCGGCAGACGCGGCACAGTCGCTATGTTGACGCATACATTATTCATCATGCTTAGCAACAAAAAAAGAACGAATGTATAAGCATTTTCCACACCAATAAGTCACGTGGCAAAAAGTGAAACAGAATTTGCATTCCGGATAACGTTAAGGTTGACTGCATTATTTTTTTACCCTTTCTTTGTGAATGGTGTGTTACTTAAATAAAGTTTCGCAATACTTCATCTGCAACTCTCTCCCTCTCTCTCTATATACCGGGTGCGTCTCAAAAGTGGCTCACCCCTATAACTTTTTTATTATTTCAGATAAGATGTGGTATGTTAGTATATGACATAAAATGGGATTAATTGACGTATTCAATTGTTTTCGGCCACTTCCCGTTTCACCGGAAATGACTACAACTTTTGATTTTTAAATGGCACCCTCGGTATTTTTTACTTTATTCGATAGAAAATGACACTCTGAATAGAATCACATATCATATGTCAACTTTTGACATTTTCGCATATGCATTATTTAAAATTATAACTCGCGGTTCGTAACGAAAATTTGACTTGAAATACCAAGTGTGTGGTATCAAATTATTGGTAAAAAAATGCTTTTTCCAAATATGCTAATGAGCCACTCTCGTTCCATTTGAAAAAACTGAGATATGATTAAAAATACGATTTGGGCATTTTTTAACCGGCCGGGACAAGACACTAAAAACATTAGACGATCAAATCTATTTTTCCAAGTCTCCTTCATTAAAAATTAGTGTTTTGCCATGGCACTCTGGATTGAGATTTAAAATACATTTTTTTATTAAGCAAGAATGTCAAAAGTTGACATATGATACGTCATTCTATTCAGAATATCATTTCCTATCGAATAAAGTAAAAATATATAGGGGGTGC